TTTTTTACATGAAACTTTTTTTTGCGATTTTTTTGGTCGTTATTAAGATAATATGTTATTATTATGTCAAATCTTTAATAACGTTATTAAGATAAAAAAAATCCCAACATAACATAATAATAAATATGTCGGGCAATAACATATTATTAACATATCGAAAATGTAAATCTGTACGCTGAATATCGTGCGATTGTTCGCGCTGTGAACAACAGTACGATTCCAACATGAAGTTGGCTGCGCATGGCATTTCAGAGTATTCGCGTAGTACTCGCCGACTATCCGCAATACGATTATTCGCAAATTTCTTGTCGGGGTGTCACACTAAGTCATTATCTCTCATTACAATTTATGAAAATCGATTTTTATGAAAAGAAAAAAAAAATCTACAATTTCTAGAGAAGTTTCGATGGTTGGAACATATTACGGCATAAAAATAGGTTTTTTGGTAGTTAGTTAAAAGAAATAAATTAAAACTTGATATTGTTATGTATGAAACACTCATTTCGTGATTCACCGATGAATTAACCCAATTTAGTTCTGAAAAGTGCTTTCACTATAGTCTATTGTCACTTCGTAACTCAGATAAAAACATTGACATTGTAGTAAACACATTAACGAGTACATATCTCTACACTTTATATACGTGCTTTATGTAATAAAAACAAGCTTGTTTGCTTGTTCGTTTGTTTGTCTCTTTCGATACACTGAAAAATAAAAACGTTTTTTTGATGGTTTAATGTTTAACAGTGTCACAAATGCCGTTTGCGTTTTACTCCACTAATTCCACTAATGTTCATTTACAAGAAATAATCTTTGATGTACAGTGTCAAGAATACACCTTTATTGTTGTTTTGCGCTATCAAATATTGCTTTTGCTTTCGAAAACAAACGATTACGCTCTTGTTGTCCGAGCGCTTCAATCATTTTTCTGAATACGCCCTCTTCATTCTGCATCAGTAAGTACGGTGTATCGAACTCAACAGCAGTGCCTGCGTCCATAACTAGCACACGATCAGAGTCGATAACGGTATTAAGCCGGTGAGCGACGGTTATTACGGTGGAGTCGACGAATTTCTCTCGAATCGTCTTTTGAATCATTTCATCCGTTCTGAAAATAAAATGAAGTGAGAATATAAATTATATTCAATAAATTGAAAATGAAGAGTGTTACCGCAAATCCACATTAGCGGTTGCCTCATCGAGAATGATGATGCGATTCTTTCTCAAGATTGCTCGAGCTAAACACAGAATTTGTCTTTGGCCTGTACTGAAGTTTTGTCCATGAGCTTGAACCGGCATTTGCAATCCATTGTTCTTCGAAACGTATTCTTTTAGCTCCACATTTTCAAGCGCACTCCAAATATCCGCGTCTGAGTATTCTTCGAATGGATCCAGATTCCTAACGTTGGAAGTTATTTTTAATTTTAAAATGTGTCTCGAGCAATGAATGGTGTGTGCTTACCTTCGCAGTGTGCCCGAGAAAAGAGTTGGCTCTTGCGGAATTATTGATATTCTGGATCGGAGCACGCTCAATTCCACAGACGAAGCGTTCACATCGTCCAGTAGTATGTCGCCATCGACAATTGCTAATCTGAAAATTGATGAAATAAGAGAAGATTTTCCGGCTCCGGTTCGGCCAACAACACTGACTTTCTCATTGGGTTGTACTGAAAATGACAATTCGCGCAACACCGGCTCATCCTCAGCTGAATATCGATAGGACACTCTCTTGAATTCCACTTTCCCCTTTGATGGCCAATCGGCTGACACTTTTTGCGGTACTTCTGGCTGTGTTTCACGCTCCAATTGACTGTACTCCAATATACGTTCAACTGATGTCAATTGATTCGTAACATCGGCACCTATTGAAGAAAAGAAGACCGTTTCATTCGACATCCCATTCGGAAATTAGTTTGTGCACATTTTTGGATGTCTCACTTTGTCTCACTGCATACTGCAATATACCGGACAAACTCATAACTTGAGTAATAGCCAAGCCCACACGATCACCAGTAACTCCTTCATTCACAATCAGGAAAAGATAAATGACGAAACCAATGAAGACGTACACCACCAAATCAATTGATATGCCAAATCCACTTGATGCACCTGCAATGACATCAAAAATTAAAAATTAGTAGTCAATACGAGCATGTTTATAGTTTTATCGACCTAATACATACCCAAGAACATAAACCACGTTCCAGTGTTTAGGTTCTGATGTCTCTCAAATTCTTCTCGTAAGATTTGTTCGGCTTGAAATGATCTTACTACTGATAAACCGCCCAATGTAGCCGAAATGTGCGTGAACACTGGCGATTTTGCTGCAGAAAATTAACAAATTAATTTCTTAGTTTTATTTGAATCGAGTCTTGTTCATCGTGAACATCGGTTAGTGCTCAGTTAACTCACTTATGCCTTCTAAGCGCACGATATTTGTAGAACACTTTAAATATATTTTGCGTGCAAAAAGAAATACCACTGCCATTACGAGGATAACTATTGCAAGCTTCAAATCTGTAAAAATAGTAACGGCAATTGCGCCAAGCGCAAGCAAAATTCCTTGTGGTGCTTCCAATAGTATTCGTGGTAACATTTCATCAACGTTGCCCAAATCTTTTGTGAATCTGTTCATAATGCGACCCGTTGGATTTACGTCAAAAAATCGCATCGTTGTCAATATCAATCCGTGGAACATTGTATCATGTAAATTCTGCGAGGCTCTAATGCAAACTCGACAAAATGTGGCTGATCTCGTTGCAGCGAACAGTATTAGTGAAAAAATGATTCCACAATAAATGAATATGTACGTTTCAGTGGGCCAGGTATTTGTGTCGGTTGCACTGGATGTTCGATTGAACGAACTCGATGAATAATTCAAAAGATGCGATCGACTTTCTTCATTTCTTATCCTTGAAAGAAGAATTTTTTTTTCAGAACAATTTATAATCTGAACCAGAATTGGTTTGAAAACTGTTACTCACCAGTATGAGACCCATACATCGGCAATACTACCGGATAATTGAGTTGATATAAATAAAGCATACATGAACATTAAAGCACATGGCATGTTTGCGGAGTTTAGATAGTTCAGAAGCATGGATCCTTTGATTTTTCCCTTCGACGATGCCTCCAACTCTTTCACCATCTCGCTTTTCTCGTTGAGTTCATTTTCCTCTTCATTTGGAGAAATTCCTTCTTTGTTCAACGATCCCGACGAACTTAGCCGACTTCTTTGTGATGAAGCCGAGTTCCGGCGTTTGTTCTCCACTGACTCTTGCTCATTTTCATCGTTTTCAGTTTGATGCAACATGCTAGTGAAATCAATTCCGGACTTCAAAACCGTATTATAATCACCTTGTGTCTCGATCTTTCCCTGCAATTTTGAAAATTGGATAAGTCAATTTTGGGTTTGGTTCCAATGCACTGTCTTAAGCTACTTACATCCTTCAGAACGACAATCCAATCGGCCTCCTTCATGAAATGCAACTGATGTGTGATCAAAATTCGAGTGGCATTTTGACGCGCCAGATATCCATTCGGGCCGATACACTTATGGAACAAATGTGATTGCACGTGAGTATCCACTGCGCTCAAGGGATCATCTATCAAGTATATATCCGCTTTTCGGTAGAGAGCACGAGCGAAACTGAAATCAAACGTTTGATCGGGACGTACATCATTTTTTAAATCACTTTTGCTTCTGTTGGTGATAAAGTTGTTTGCACTTACTTGATTCTAGCTTTTTGGCCACCTGAGAGACCAGCTCCATTTTCGCCGACCATCGTCATATCACCGTTACTAAATTGTTCAAAATCTTTCGTTAAGGCCGCACATTTAACCACTTCATCGTACCGAGCTCGATCCATATGTTGACCAAACACAATATTTTGTCGGATCGAGGATGTGAAGGTCCAGCTCACTTGACTAGCATATGAAGTTGTTCCATTGATTCCACTTGCACCATGAGTTAGAGGCAGTTCCTTGAGAAGGACCTGAGCTAGTGTCGATTTACCAGCACCAACCGAACCGACAACGAAAATTAATTTTCCCTTTGGCACTTCCAAGTTAATATCTTTGAGCTTGAACAATTTGCTTTCGATTGAGTTCAACTCGTCTTTATTTTGATATGAGCCAATCTTTTTCGTCAATTTTGCAGAGTTTTTATCATTTTCATTTTTGACGGCACTCCATTCGGCCGAGACGTTTTTCAATCGAACAGCTAGATGTTGTTTGTCCAACTCATCGGAACTAATGACCTCTGAGCCGTTTGAGCTGACCTCCGTCTTTTCTTCGTATTCAAAGAATATTTGCAGCCGCTTAAGTGCAATGTATACTTCACCCATTTCTGTGATACTTCGAATAAAAATGCGACACATTCCAAGTGTAATCACATTCAGTAAATATGAGGTCATAAACATTTTGGAAACGGTGAGATTTTCGGGACCGTACAACCACACAAATGATAAAACGGTGCCAAAAAGAGCGACCCTTGTGGCAAATAGGAAAAGTGTCAAATGCAAAGCACGAATATAGGAATTTTTGAGAATCACTGACAATTCACGGCGCCGAGCTGCTGATATAAGACGTTCGAATGGTTTTTCCCATGCGTACATCTTGAGCACTTGTACTCCGGATATGATCTCGTCCATAAGTCTAACGCGTTCATCCGTTCGCAACGCTGTTTTAAATCGAAAAATGGCCGACAATCTGCTTGCGTAACCTGTGGAGCAATGAATTGATTTGTAAATGAACTTATTCGTAGAGAGAGTTATTGCAAATGAACATTGATTACTTTGGGCTGGAATAAAGAGAAAAACAACGATCAACCCAATGACGGCAGCCCATCGGATATGTGTCCATAAAATAAACGACGCTATAGCGGCAGTGAATGGAGATATCCATAGCGGATGTAAAAGTGCCACAGACTCAAATCGTTGCACGTCATTTGATAGCAAATTGACCAGTTTGCCCGGAGCTGTGTTCGACAATGCTCGTTGTGACAAGCGAAGTGTCTGTATGGATTAGATAAGAATATGTATGATAAATAGGAAAAACATGATTGAAATCACAAATTCTTATTTTTTAAATAAAATGTGCAAACTTTTCGATAAATGACGCTAGAAAGTGCTACTCGGATTTTCATACTGTAATGCATGCCCTTGAACAGATAATGAAGCAAACTGATGCCATAGCCAACAATGAGCGTAAATAGACAAGTGCCATATGTTAATGCTTCATCCCGTGACACATCGGAATTTTCACTGTAAAATATAAACGATTGAATGACTCTCTTCAGTCTAACTGTCGCTTGGTCAGGTCAAAAATACATACCGAAAATATGACAAAAGTTTTTCTAGTAAATGTGCCAACGTCAATCGACAAATGCAATCAGTGAAAATGCAAAGAACGCCTAGAACAATTACTTCTCGCCGAAATGTCTTCACTAATGCCCGCAGTAATGATGGACTTGATTTTTCCTTCTGTTCAGCTCGCCAAAATCTACAAGTGATTGAATATTTTAAATTTTCTTAATACATTCTACCAAAATTCTGTTTTTAATTTTGTTTCTATAGAGCGATCGTACTTTTCCAGTCGATTTCCAAGAAACTCCGATCGATCTTCGTCCAGTGGTTGGAAAGCATCATTCGGATGTAAGATATTATGATAAGTCTGTTTCAGAATGGGTATCGACCATCCAAAAAACAGTATTGATACTATGTTGGCACTTTCACGAGGATTTTTCAATAATTTTCTATAACCAGACTCCATCTCTTTGTAGTTTTTTGTTTCGTATTAATTTTGAAACTGTTGCACTAACAACTCATCACGCCGATGGTCTAACTCAAATGAAAATTGATCTCTATTGGGAAACAATATAAGTACTTCGTTAAAATCTACAATAAATAAATTTCATCACAAAGATTTATGTCCACTGTGACAGGTCCCACTGGCACTTAATTGCGGCAATTAATTTTTTGCTCCCGAAACAACTTCATATTTCAGTGAAAATCAATTCGTGGCAGCACTTCAAACGAAATATTTACAAATAAACTGAATTCTACATTGATATTGATGTGAACGAAAAAGTTGTTTCATAACACAATTCGAACTGATCTAAATGTTCCGAAATAAATACTATTCTGATGGACGCTCGCTTGTCAAATAGAAACATTCACTTACACACATGTTGGCAAAATATACATACACACAAGCGCCGATCCGCACATCATACAACCGAACATATACATAAGCATGCAACGCACGTGCTCTATGTAGTACATATGTTGCTAAACACACATCATAGGTCGGATGTTATTTCTTTCGCCGTACACTGAAAAGTAAAAAAAGCCAATTCCAAATGGACAATCCGGTTTTTAACAGTGTTATGGTGATGTATTATTCTCGGAAAGAGTAAAGACATTCAAATTTCCTGAAAAGCAAAATTTTTGTATCAACGCTTAAAAAAAAGGTCAATATTGATACAGATTCGTTTATTATTTCATCATAGTGTGTAAATACAGCTACTCTGCAAAACATTTATATGATTTTTTTTAAATATTCCATTATAACCGAATCATGGCTATAATACAGCGAACTAGAAGAGAAAGGAAATTTGAAAAAAATTAGCATAATATGTCAGAATTAGATGTGCGCAAAGAATGGTTTATCGCGCTTCGAGCCGAATCAAAATGCCATCCTTCGGATAAGCCATAAAAGTTTGAGGATCTACGACAATTGGCTTATGGTTTGGTGACAATTTGATGTGGAAATTCTGAGTGATGTAGGCCAACGCCAGTTTAACTTGTGTGACTCCAAAACGTTGTCCTGGGCAAATGCGAGGTCCTAAAATCATCCTAACACTGTTAAAAATCGGATTTTCCATTTTGAATTGTTTTTTTACTTTACCTTCACCAAATCCAAAATACATCCCTTTATGGCGGTTGAGTTGTAGATCTTCAAT